TTTTGTACATATTTGACCTCTTGATATTTTTCGCTAACTGTGACCGTTTTCCCGAGGTAAATCAATTAAACGGGAGAGACAATTTCCACTGCCTTGATTTTGTCCCTACTAGTGTGACGTCACGAAAGCGATGCTCCGGCCCGGTAAGATAGAGTAGGCCCTGTATGAGTACGATAACGATAATTCCCTGCTCCAAATAACGTTCTGCGCAGGACTGCCCAACTTGAAGTCGAGTTCCCCGTCACTTCTTATGGCATCTGTCATCTGAGGGATATTTCTTTCACATTCCCCGTTAAACCCGGTTAGAGTATTTCGGAGAAGGTGGTGGGAGTCAACTACGTCATAATGAAGTCAACATTAACTATTTTTGAATTTCTATTTCTTTCACTTTACCCACTACAAAAGTTTACCCGTGTATCTCTTACTTCATCATCCACTCCATTCATTTTTAATTTGAATGTTCCCATCATATCCTCCATTTTTCACATTTATGAATGCAAAAAAATATTCAAGTTCAACTTTAACCACCTTTACCAACTATGGAGTTGGTAAACCCAAGGGCAGGTAGGGGAGGTGTACCCAAACGGAAATTACGTCACGGTTGAACACAATGAAATGGGATCATCAGCTTTAACCATGACAGGTAATGTGAATGAAATATCCCTCTGATTCATCATAAATATAAATACATGTATATGAAAATGGATGATTATTGTATATGTAGTATGAATTCTTCCGTGAGGATGAAAATCCAATTCAGATCTCAATAATTTTATTACATATCCGTAACTATCGTAATATACATAACAACCGATGCTCCTTTTATCTTCCAGTTCTCATGTCATAATGTACATCTAGAAATCCATATTTTATACAGGATGTGAAAAACATGTAACACCTTCCCTCCTTAAAAAGAAATCCACAATAACAACTCAAAGTTGAAAATCATTTCCTAATTAAACTGGCACTCTGATATTTCTCTGCGATCTCCGTGTGGTGGTGACATTGGAATTAATTTTTGAATTCTCCATAGGCTCTGATGTTTCTTCAGGATCATCTACAGGATATGGTATATGGTAATCAAACTCAGAATCAGAATCATTAGATAAACATGTAGTTTTTGTTCCTATTGATCGCAACTAGTTAATATGCCTCTTCCATGATCTACAATCATCGAGTTTAATCTGATAATGTAATTTTCCAAGCTTTCTCTCTACTTTTCCAAATTCCCACTTATTTTCTCCAATATAATTTCTACACTCTACTCTTTCTCCCTCTTTTAGAAATCGTATTTCTTTTCCCTTATTCACATCTATATATACTCATTTTGATCTGGAATTATGAAATCTAATCGTTGCCTGATTCTTCTGTTGAACATAAGTTCTGAATACTATGTGGAATATTTCAATATTTTATTGTATTGTATCGTATCGTATCGTATCGTATCGTATCGTATCGTATCGTATCGTATCGTATCGTATCGTATCGTATCGTATCGTATCGTATCGTATCGTATCGTATCGTATCGTATCGTATGGTATGGTATGGTATGGTATGGTATGGTATGGTATGGTATGGTATGGTATGGTATGGTATGGTATGGTATGGTATGGTTTGGTTTGGTTTGGTTTGGTTTGGTTTGGTTTGGTTTGGTTTGGTTTGGTTTGGTTTGGTTTGGTTTGGTTTGGTTTGGTTTGGTTTGGTTTGGTTTGGTTTGGTTTGGTTTGGTTTGGTTTGGTTTGGTTTGGTTTGGTTTGGTTTGGTTTGGTTTGGTTTGGTTTGGTTTGGTTTGGTTTGGTTTGGTTTGGTTTGGTTTGGTTTGGTTTGGTTTGGTTTGGTTTGGTTTGGTTTGGTTTGGTTTGGTTTGGTTTGGTTTGGTTTGGTTTGGTTTGGTTTGGTTTGGTTTGGTTTGGTTTGGTTTGGTTTGGTTTGGTTTGGTTTGGTTTGGTTTGGTTTGGTTTGGTTTGGTTTGGTTTGGTTTGGTTTGGTTTGGTTTGGTTTGGTTTGGTTTGGTTTGGTTTGGTTTGGTTTGGTTTGGTTTGGTTTGGTTTGGTTTGGTTTGGTTTGGTTTGGTTTGGTTTGGTTTGGTTTGGTTTGGTTTGGTTTGGTTTGGTTTGGTTTGGTTTGGTTTGGTTTGGTTTGGTTTGGTTTGGTTTGGTTTGGTTTGGTTTGGTTTGGTTTGGTTTGGTTTGGTTTGGTTTGGTTTGGTTTGGTTTGGTTTGGTTTGGTTTGGTTTGGTTTGGTATTGTATTGTATTGTATTGTATTGTATTGTATTGTATTGTATTGTATTGTATTGTTAAGAAGTGCCAATCTTCTGGTCCGACTTCAAGTTGTAAGTATGCTTGCCTCAAATCTATTTTTGAAAAAGTTGTTCCACCAGCCATTGATGCAAAAAGCTCATCAATGGTAGGTAAGGGATGATCATCAACAAGTAATTGCGGATTTATTGTAACGCTGAAATCTCCACAGAGGCGAACTGTATTATTTGATTTCAAGACAGGTACAACAGGTGTAGCCCATTCTGATGTATTTACTTTTTCTAGAATACCTGCTTTTTCAAGATTAATTATTTCCTGCTCAACTTAATCTAAAATTTTGAAAGGTACTGTACGAGATCTCAGAAAAACCGGTTTCGTATTCGGTTTGAAAGTTAATTTGGCTTGAATTCCATCGATTTTTGACAAACCTGGTTCAAAAATTAGTTTGTATTTTTCAAAAGAAGTGAATCTAATTTTTTTGCTGTCTACATGTAGGTGTAATCATATTCAAATTATTGAAATCTAAACCTAATTGTCGACTCCATTCTCTCCCCAATAATGATTGTCGATCAATATTGGTTAAATAAATGTTCAAATTGAAATATTTTTCATTATATTGAACAGTTACTGTAGAAAATCCCAAAACTTCCAAATTGTTATTGCAATACGTAATTAACTTCAAATCTGTTTCGAAAATTGGAATATTTGGAAAAATTGAAATGAAAAAAATTTTACTTGTCAAAGTGACAGCTGCACCTGTATCTACTTCGAATGTAACATCCACATCATTTACTTTGAGGTCAATAAGATATTTATCTCTGAATTGTCGATGTTCAATTTGTGTAATGATATTTTCATCTGATTCTGAATTTGATGTACTTACTGAGGTTGAATTAAGTATTTCCTCAACTGAATTTGTATGGGTAGTCTTCTTAAAACAAACCTTCTGTAGATGACCCTTCACTCCACATCCTTTACATTGAATATTTTTATCCAATTTACATTTTGTAGCGAAATGACCACCACCACACCTGAAACATTTAACAGTATTTGAATTTCTGGAAAAATTTGAAATTTTATTAGAATTAGTTGAATCTCTGCTGTTCTTGAAATGATGTGTCGGCTTCGAATCTCTTGAAGTTGACCCTAAATAACCAAAAGAATTATTTGGGCCACCGTGTAGTTGAATTGCGTCTTTCTCTGACAGCTCCATACTCGTAGCTATTTTGACAGCCTTTTCAAAATTCAAATCAATGGATTCGAGAAGTCTCGCTTGAATTCTTCTGCTCGAGAGACCAAATACAAATTGATTCCGAAGTGCAGTTTTCAGGTAATTCCCAAAATTACAGTGAATACTCATCTTTTGTAACGCCGCTGCATATTCTTGTAAACTCTCGCCATTCTACTGCTTTCTCTGGTAGAATCGGAAATTGTTTGCTATTTCTAATGGTTTTGGTGAATAGAATTGCTCCATTTTCTCTATCAACTCGTTGAAAGACTTCTGGTATGGATCCTCGGGTGAGACTTTATCACATATTATCTCGAATGATTTGGAACCAATGTAGTGTAAAAGATATGGTACCCGTAAATCCTCGGTAACTTTGAATACCGTGAATGCTCCTTCCAATCGCTGCAACCATCTTCTAAACTCCATGGTACTCGGTTCAAATGGTTCAATGTTGTAAGAAGTTTGTACTAATAACTCTGCCATGGATGCGTAAACGTGCTTCTTTTCAAATCCTCGTCGCCAAACTATTGTATATGTAGTATGAATTCTTCCGTGAGGATGAAAATCCAATTCAGATCTCAATAATTTTATTACATATCCGTAACTATCGTAATATACATAACAACCGATGCTCCTTTTATCTTCCAGTTCTCATGTCATAATGTACATCTAGAAATCCATATTTTATACAGGATGTGAAAAACATGTAACAATGATAAATCATCAATCATGCATCGATACAATGACTATTGCTATTGCTTTTTGATATTTTGATCTAGAATCACCTAGAACTTCCCTTCGGGTAGACATGTTTAGCTAGATGCTCCATGGTATTTGAGGAGTTGTTTCCTGATTTCATTGTTTGAAAATCGGCCTCCAACCGTTATTACCATCGAGATCATACAACCCCCGCAACCATTACCATCGAATCTCGATGATAACCAAGGCTATCATTGTCAGATTGGTCCAAGAACGATAATGGTCTATCGTTCTTGAGATTTGTCACAGTTAACTCCTTGAATGCCTAAATCACTATACAAACAATGAACTGAATGTGTTGTATTGAGTTCATTGTATACAAATGATCACAGTGGAAAGACGCCATGCTATTAGTGGAAAAACACGAATTTCAACATCTTGTTTCAACATATCACGTGATGGAAATGGTTCGAACGATTTAGGCACTTCTCTCAGCAGGAACCACTTACTGAACTATAACTTTGTACGGTTATAGTTCAGTGGCAGGATAATTTCTGATGTCTGCTGATCCTTTTTGTTTTTTTGCTTAAATAAAAAACAATGATAATAAAACTGGATAAAACCATCATTTTTACCCTACTAAAAATGGGAACTAACAATATACCTACCATAAATGAATCCTAAAAACTTCTCAAAATACCAACGGTAGTACCAAAATACCGGATCTGGTTACAGAAAACCAAGAAGTCTAAAAGAAGAAGAAGAAGAAGAGAAGAAGAAGAAGAAAAAAAAAAAAAAAGGCTAACAGTTGTTCTGATAAGTGCTATTTAGGACTTTAGGATGTGATATTTAATATTTCATATTTTGCCTGAAAAGAACAGTTCTTTATATAAATATATAATGGAATTTGTAGATTTCGATAAAACTCTAACTGATGAAGAATGCAAACGACTTTCCGCACAAAATGATCGTATCGTCAGTGAACACCAAGCCAACATGTTGGAAGTGAAAGCAAAAAAGCACTGGGACTTGTTTTACAAAAGGAATGAATCTCGATTTTTCAAAGATCGCCACTGGACTACTAGAGAATTCCAGGAATTGTTGAATCAGAGTGAAACTACCAAACTCATTCTCTTTGAAGTTGGTTGTGGTGTGGGAAATTTCATCTTTCCTCTTATTGAAGAAAATTTGAATTTCAAAGTCATAGCATGTGATTTGTCGCCCCGTGCTGTAGAAATTGTCAAGAAACACCCAAATTATAGCCAGGAACAAATTAAAGTGTTCCAATGTGATATCACCACAGATCATGTGTTTGAAGAAGTTGAAGCTGGTTCAGTTGATATAATCACACTAATATTTGTTTTATCTGCAATTCATCCTGATAAATTCTCCACTACTTTGAAACACCTATTTAACCTTCTAAAACCTGGAGGAATATTATTGTTTAGAGATTATGGACTTTATGATATGGCTCAACTAAGATTCAAACCTGGAAATAAAATTGCTGAAAATTTTTATATGAGGCAAGATGGAACGCGGAGCTATTATTTCTCAATTGATGAATTTTCCAATTTGCTGGAAGAGGCTGGCTTTGAAATTATAGTAAATACTTATGTACATAGAAGAACAATTAATATAAAGGAGAATATTGATGTCCCAAGAATTTTCATTCAGTCTAAAGCTAGAAAACCCTTGGGCTGGTAAGATTATCCCTCGGATTATCCTATAAATTTCATAATAGAATTGTACTCTATAAGGAAAATGTAAACAAGTGGAAGCTGTGTAGCACCTACCTACTTCTACAGTTTCTGCTTGATGATTGTTAAAAATATAATTTCTGTATAGCTCCTCATAATCATTCAACTGGATAATAGTTATCCATCAAACTTATAATGAGGACTATCATTCACAAGTTTATGTCAGGAGCATAGCAAGTGGCATAATTAATATTATAATCAATTGTATAACATATATTGCCTACCCTAGACCTAGACCAGTGAATAATGGTTATTCACCACTATTATTCACTGGGGTAAAACATGGCTATAATTTTGTTCCAGGAGGTACATGTATTATGAATATCTTATACAACAGTCCTGGATGAAATACATTTGAAATCCCATTACATTGTCATTAAGAGTCATTAAATCATCCTCTGACCTTAGTGAAGCTTTTTAGACTGCCATCTATATATAAGTTTTCAATTACAAAATACTTTTCTGTTCTTGAGTACAAGCATTTCTGGTTCCCCTTTTCAAATTCCAATTTCAGCTTTTGCTGATTTTCAGTATTTTTTTATATATTTTGGAAATTCATTATAAGTTCTTAATCCTGTAGTGACCTAGGAATTATATGTCTTCCTTGACTCCCTGGAAACATCTTCTATACCTACAGGGTAAAACTGTAGACCTATGAATTATATGTTTTATGGTTTTACCCTGTATACATGATGTTTCCAGGGAGACAAGGAAAAATGATAAAACTGTCACTTATAGTTTGAATATAATATTTGTTCAGTCAAAACCTTGTTTTAGTAGTTTGAATAAGCTAAAAACATTCATGGAATAACCAGTGTGAAGCTAGCAGCCATTCTGATCTGATGGTCTCTGTACTGTTCTAATATAAGTATTTAGTTATTTATTATACAAGGGAAAAAAGTGAGCAAAAATCTAATATTTTTTCAGTATAAATAATACACTATTTTCTCCTGTGACAGCAAAAACAATAATTCAATATTGAAAAGATATTACATTATACAGAGGTCTGTACAAAATGATACCATAGACTCCTGAGGCCAAAGTGAGATGGTTGAACCAAACTTACCTCCATATCAAAATGCTCTGTTTAGCTAAGAGCGTTGAAATTGAATTTTGATTCTTTATTTCTTTATTGAATATCATTGATATGATTGATGATTTCATATAAAAATTAAGTAGGAACCTAAAATTATTAAATAAATGTGAAAGAGTATGCATAAAATTAAATTTGGTCAATTAGGTTATCCAATGACCCCTCAAACTATGCACTGGTTGGCACACAATTACATTATCTGTGATAAATCGTTTTTATATGAGAATTTTTGTTGGTATCAGGAGTACAAGTCATATAATCAAAGAAAATCACAAAAAGTAAGTATTTATTTTTATATATGGTATACCAACCAGGTGCTATATTGATTCTCATGAACTTTCAGGTCTTTCAGGAGTGCTGAAAGATGTATTGAATAAGGAAATAAAAAAGCAACATTGAGATCTGTTCAATGGCATAGAAAAAGTTCTATCAATTTTTTGATAGATAACAGTAGGTACTTCAAATATGTAACATCCCCTGTGTGCCAATCAAAATGGTGTGGCGTGTTTTTCATGTGTAATAGTTCTTTTAGTGTTACTATGAAATTTCAGGACCATATTCATAGACAATATTGAAATATATGAAAAAATAAATTAATTAAATTCCCAGGCCCTGTAGCAGCCAAACGGAACATTTTGGTATACAGGGTGTCCCTAAAAGGTGCGGAAAAAAAGCTACCACAAGTTCCTGAGGCGTAAATATGACGATCTAACTCAACTTACCTCAGTCCAAAAGTGGATGATTTCAGAGATACAGAGTGTCAAAAGTTCAATTTGATTTTCATATTTTATGAATATTTTTTCCAATAATTGGTGTATTGTCACAATATTCGGCTTGGGGGGGTTTCGCTGGTTGAGAAATTATAATTTGCTATCATTTTTATTGTAAAGTTAAGAAGGCGCCACCTGCGGAACCTTGCACACGTTTCAAACGAAGTAACTTTTTTGAGTCACCCCATATTTAATTTTTAAATGAAAATTCGGATTGTCCAACGTCTTTTACATAAAATATGTATACGTGGTAAGAGTTGATTTGGGCAGCTGTTTTTGAGATATCTGGATTTTAAAAATTCACTTCGTAAATGGCCAGGTCTAAATTATTGTAATAATAAAATTGAAGCGTAGGCGGTGAATTAAAATAACGTCACTAAGAACTGACTTGGGTCAAATCGAATCTAAAAAACAAGTCAAGACAATTGTCAAACAAATAATGAAGTTCTTTTTGTCATGGCCGTAATGTATACCAACGAAGACATGACCGATATGTTATTGGTTTTTGGATATTGCCAGGGAAATGGTTTAGAATCTTGCATACGAGTATACAGTGAAGGATTTCCTAATCGTCGCTTACCAAACCATAAAACCTTCAATCCTTAACTCATAATAGCATAATTTTTTTTAATTAAATTAAATTAAACTTTTGTTGTTAATAAACCTCCTATTCCTAATGACTATTTTTCTTTTTTTTTTTCTAAGTTTTTGGTGACGTTATTTTAATTCACCGCCTACGCTTCAAATGTGTTCAATTTTATTATTACAATAATTTAGACCTGGCCATTTACGAAGTGAATTTTTAAAATCCAGATATCTCAAAAACAGCTGCTCAAATCAACTCCTACCACGTATACATTTTTTATGTGAAAGACGTTGGACAATCCGAATTCTCATTTAAAAATTGAATATGGGGTGGCTCAAAAAAGTTATTTCGTTTTAAATGTGTGCAAGGTTCCGCAGGTGGCGCCCTCTTGACTTTACTATAAAAATGATAGCAAATTATAATTTCTCAACCAGCAAAACCCCCCCAAGCCGAATATTGTGACAATACACCAATTATTAAAAAAAATATTTATAAAAAATGAAAATCAAATTGAACTTTTGATACTCTGTATCTCTGAAATAATCCACTTTTGGACTGAGGTAAGTTGAGTTAGATCGTCATATTCACGCCTCAGGAACTTGTGGTAGCTTTTTTTCCGCACCTTTTAGGGACACCCGTATAAGTAAGTTTGGTTCAATTATCTCACTTTGATCTCAGGAGTCTATGGTATCATTTTGTACAGACCTTTCAGGGACACCCTTCATTAAAATCAGAAAATTATCTATGTGAAATTCGAAGTTTTCAACTGGTAGGCAGTGACAATTACACCTGCATTGCAGGCATCTTTATGGGTACTTTGAAGTAATCAAATATCTGTCAATTCCATTCTGTGATTTGATTTTAAATAACTGCAAACTTGTTGGTTGCTGTTTAGATATTTACATAACTGCGAAAGTGGAATATATGGAAGATAAAAAGGACTTGCAGTTCTTTCTGAGAGATGGTGTTATTGGCTTATTTTTCGGAACTGGCACAACAAAAGCCTTCAACAGTGTATCTATATAGAGGGTGTTATAAAGTATCGCTGGCCAAACTTCAAGGGCAATTATTTGGGTGACTGTAAGACGAACAGTTCATATAAACATAGGTTCTGAAATACTTCCATACAGGGTGTTGATTGATGATTACCCTGTATAAGCTTTCATTATGGCAAATTTTTTTCTGGTTGGTGACTGAAAAAGTCTCAAAATTCCAGAATAATACTGCATGGGTGATTTGAGGGCACCATGCATTAAAATTTGGAGATAAATCAATGTTTCTTCATTCACTTTGAAACTATTAAGTGAAAAGTTAATAGGAGACAAGAAAATTGTATTTTCAAGTGTTTAATCTGATAAAAATATCATAAATATCTAAAGGGGGAGTGTATAATTTCTGGAAAAGGTAACCGACTGTGACGCCACTGGAATCAATATTTCGAATCTAATTACACCAAAAGAAGCTTCTTGATACTGTTGAAAAAATCATTGAGTTGGAAAACAGAATTTTGAGTAATTGATAAAAATAGTAGATTGTTTTATATGGACTGAAACTTTTGGCAAGATAATACACTACACTGTTTTACCACTAACCAATCCGATTTCTTAAACGCCTCGAGTGTCGCTAACTATGTTCACTAACTTCAGGAGAAGATTAATAATATTAAAATCGGTTTGGTTAGTGGTGTATAGTAGATTGTTTTATTAGGATCGAAAGTGACACTTTGTTTAAAAAGCGAATTTGCGAGTCAAACAAAGTCACTTTTGATCCGAATGAGACATCCTATTTTTCCTGCAACCGAAAGAATGAACTAAAATAAATATTTGAAGTAACCACCAATGCCGTGCCATATGTATGCAATGCAACAAGTAATCCGTGTGGTGAGAATATTCTACCTGCTTTAACAGGTCATGATGTTTATTAAATTTTCAAGGATGTTCGAATTGTAGTTTCAATATAAATACGACCACAGACTACAGACCTAACTGACCCATTCATTGTGTATGGACCAGGTGTCAGGGCGTAACCAAGGTCATTTCACAATGGCTGGAATGCAGACCTCTACTATGAAATGACTTTCGGCGTTATTAAAAGTCCGATTGCCAAATAGATTGAATCATCATAAAGACGAAAGTTCCGACTCGGGTTTGGATAGTTTTGAAGACAAATTTCGTTCGATTAAGAAAGCTGCAGGCTGCAGAAGATCAAAAAGATGTAAACATTGTAAAATTTTGTGTCTCAGAATAACGTTATATTCACTCATACCCTGCGTTATTATTTTGGGCAACCCACACTAGAATTTCAGCTCTTGAAATGTAACCATTTAGATGAAAGCCTTTTTTATATTCAATTTATGTAAACAATAGGCCTATATATCTTGTATGGATAATATCTTCTCTAAATTAGATGGTAGAAAACTCGAATACCGTAGTTCAGGTACTCTCTGCTAGATGGAGGTACCGTCGCAGCAGTCGGCTCTAAAAGCATCTAATCTAGTACGTTTTGCGCGAACTGGATGATGTACCATTAGATGGAGCTCAAAATGTGAAAAGTTTGTTATTTGTTCAAGAATGCCTTTGCACGTTCAAGGTTGTCGGAGGCAATAGCAAACATTTATCACTCATTTTTTAATTCACGAATGGCGGTAAATTCGAATTTGTTAGTAATAGTTGTACTGGATGTGCTTCTAACGAGCGCATCACGGACGTGAGATCATGAAAAAAGTTTATAGAAATCGAATTGGAGTGAATCACAAAATTTTATGTCTCAACAATATATGCTTCCATTTTTGGCGATTGTGGAATAAACTGGTCAGCGGATATCAATAATATATAAGCTGCTCATAAATTTGATTGAAATTCACGAACCCGGACCAGTGTTGTCACCTTAGTGTATTTTACCCTAGAACTGAATCTAAATTGTTCTGTTTGAGTGGAATTTCATATTTCATTATGTCGATTTACAAAATCAAACTATATAATTCACTGTCGGAAATCATTTTCTTGTCAGAGCTATGTACAATTTTCGAAATTTTTATTATTGAAATTATACTGATATTTATCACATGAAAAACGCGGAACATTGCGTCCGAACATTGATCCGACCTATGTATTGCCGAAACTTGGAGTGCAAATATTTTCCTTTGACTTTTGTGGGGCGGCCGACTCGGTGCGATTGTCGGCGATATGGCTGCCAAGCCGTCGCCGTTTGTCGCCCTAACAACACAAGTACATCCTAGGGACTTCCCAGGGACGTCCCTAATTTTATACAAGGACATCCCAGAGATATCCTTTGTCGGGACAGAGTACATACT